ACATCACTTGCCACAGTCCACAACCTAAGACTATTCTCTGGTTAAGACTATATATCTCTCCTTCCCCTAAAATGCTACCCAACAGGTAGCAGATCTTTCTACTAGTATGTACACATCAATCCTAGAAAAGAACCCTATCACATAAAATAAAACTGTAATATATAATGGGAAGCACATCACAAAAGTATTCAGTAAATATTGCTGTAACACTCATGCTTAAAAAATAATCAACATACTCTAAAACTGTACCAAAAATAAATGCCAATAATTATATTTATCAAACTATAAAAATGTTTATATGTAAAATATTGATGACAAAAATACTTAACAGATAAAAAAATAACAAAGACCTAACAATATAAAAAGTATATCAAAATAAAAGTAGGAAGTGCACATGTGCTCATATACATGCAAGGATCATCACTATAGTGCAATATCATAGGATTAGGTAAAAAAAAAAATCAAGGTAAATAAATTATGTATATCCAATAGAAAACTGTGTAGCCACTTAAGAGAATAAAATAATTCAAACATACATAAATATACAAACAATGCCTTATATACTTACATAAACAATGCCTTATATACTTATATACTACCATATACTTATAAACTACCATATACTACTTTCAAGTCTATGCACAAAAATTTCATTCAGTGAGACCTATCTTGACTACTCTCTCTTCTGGCATTGCCAATACCCCTTTATTCTTTTGTTGTTTGTTTTCTTTTTTCTCATAGCACTTATTACTTTTCACATTCTATACAATTTATTCTTTTATGATATTTACTACTTTTCTTCTTCTGGCAAAATGTAGCCTGCAAGGAAAAAGGTAGAGCCCAGCATTAAGTTAGGGAAAAAAAAAAATCTGCTAAACAAATGTACAGAAATGTGGCCAAGAGTTGACCACAGAAAGTATATTTGGGGAACTAATGTCAATAAAAGAAGAGGATCTTTTTAATTAAAAAATACAAATGTATATATTCCATTTTTTCCTGTGCATAAATGTATACTGCCTACTGAAAAACTTTTTTTTGGTGATGGAGGTAGGAGGTAGTAGGGGTGGGGAGGAGAACTAGGACCCTGTGCATGTTAAGCATGTGCTCTACTACCAAGCTACTCCCACAGCCCTGGAAAATTTAAGATTCCTCATAACAGTCACATACTTCATAGATATACAATAATGTATATAAGTTATACATATGCATATATAAATACATGTATATATGCACAATAGCAATGATCACTATTAGAAACAATAAGATTAGGGAGTGGATACTTTTTTCTTGCATTGTTTGGTTTTTTATTTTTTTTAGTTGTACACAGCCACAATATCTTTATTTTATTTATTTTTATGTGGCACTGAGGATAGAACCCAGTGCTTCACATGTGCTAGGCAAACACTCTACCACTGAGCCACAACCCCAGTCCCCCTTGCATTGTTTGTTTTTAAACAAGAGCTATCACATAATACTTTCACATTACTTAGAGCAGAATAATCCTCCAACCAAGAAAAGCTAGAAAAGGAAAATAAAATACAAAAATAAGTCAATAAAAAGAAAGCTGACTGTTTTTAATCATCTAAGAGCTGTTGAGGAAATCAGAACTTCATGAATCAACATTTGAGAAAAAGTAGGAACCTCAAAAAGTAACTGCACTATTCAGGAGCCACTTGATACTTTTTTCCCTCAGAATATTGTCTATTATGGTCACAATTCTGAGAATGTATTCAAAAGACCCAGATCCTCTGCCTGGATTCTAACAGGAAGAAAAGAATTCAGCTGAATTTTCAGTCAATCTCACAAAGCTGGTAGGCCAACTATTAAAAGCTGTAAAGGGCCAGGATTTCAATCATAAAAGGGAAACAGAGAACTGAACCACAGTCTATTTCCCCTCTAGACATCTTCACTGAATTCTGAAGCTATACTGATAATAATGAAGCAAAGTCTATATAGCAAAAAGGGAGTAAGAAATTTTGTTATCCAGGTGATCTGATTGCATTCTATCAGCTTAACAGAAGGAAAAGCCATCTTTTACAGCAAACTATCATTCAGATATTCTATAAATTACCAAACACAATGTCTGGCATTTAATTAAAATTTAATAGCATGCCAAGATACAGGACACAATGGGGGGGGCMGGGAAGGAATAAACAAAAGTATAATATAAAAGTTTAGGAGAAAAAGAAAACATGGTTCTTAGAGAAATAAAATCAACAAATCCTAGCAAGACTGATCAAAGATGAAAATGTCACAAAGTATCAATTTTGGATCCAAAGGTGAGTAACTTTTAAAATGAGGGACTTTAAAATAACGATTATTTGGGGCTGGGGATGGTATAGCTCAGCAATGCAGCACCTGCCTAGAGTGCCTGAGGCCCTGAGTTTAATCCACAGCATTGAACTGAACCCAGTAAGAGAAAGAAGGAAAACACATAAGCACATGCCATTATCAAGGCACATTACAGCAAAGTTGCTAAAAACCAAAAACAAGACTAAATCACAAAAGTAATCAGAAAGACATTATCTTCATTGAAATAGCAATAAGAATTTTTGCTAACTTTAAAAAAGTACTCCAAGTGAGACAAAATGGAATATCTTCACATTTTTTAAGGAAAATAATTATGAACACAGAGACAATATCCTTCACAATAAGTATGCTTTCAGATAAACAAAAAGTAAATTTGTTTGACAATAGATGTTTACCAAAAAATCCTAAAAGAAGATCTGTAGCCAAAACATGTTCCTACAGAGAAGGGTGGAAATGCAGTATAAAAATGAAGAGCATCAAAAAGAATAAAAAGAATAAAATCATGGGTGAATCTAAATATACACTGAATTTATAAAGCAGTAACAATAATTTAATATGTATTAAAACATATGTATGATGAAAATACAGGACATTTATTTAAAAATCAGGAGAAGGATAACTAAGGTTCAAGGATTCTAAGTTTTTAAAATTGTTAGGAAAAACAAAAATTTTCAATGGACTATAATAAGCCAACAATATGTTGTAATCTCTAGGATAATCACTAAAAGACTAAGATTTGCAGATTGTATTTTTTAAATCCACTTTAAAGAGAGACATCTTAATAAGAATGCAGAAATTTTTAAAAGGATAGAAAAAATTCTACCACACTATTGCTAATTAAGAGCTCATGTGTTAAGCAATGCAACAATATTTAGAAGAGGAATGATTGAATCATGAGGGCTATGACCACCTCAGTGAATCAATTCACTTGTTCAATAATTTGAATGAATTTAGTGAAAGACTGTGAAAATTACAGACAGGTAGAACATGGCAAAGGAAGCAATGGGGGCATGTCCTTTGGGACTGTAATTGTTTTTGGCCCCCTCACTTCTCTCTACCTCTCTCTCTCTCTTTGCTTCCCAACTGTCATGAATTGAGCCATTTTCCTCCACCATACCCTTCCAACATGTTTCTGCCTTGAAGCCAGTCAACAATGGACTGAAGTCTTGAAACTGTGAACCTTGAACCAAAATAAACTTTTCTCCTCTAAGTTGTTCTTGTCAGGTATTTTGGTTATAGCAATGAAAAGCTAGCTAGCAAAACAAACTAGATTTTAAGATAAAAATTATTATTAGAGGTAATAAAGGGCTTTTCACAATAATAAAGGGGTCAATTCATCGGGAATTTAATTCTAAATGTGCATATACCCAATAATGCAACATAAAAATACATAACTTATAAAATACATAACTTATAAATAGAACTATACATAGTTCTATATAGAAATACATATAAAAATCCCCTAAAAACCTCAGCACCATGTATAAATAAGTAAAATAAAGTAAAGGTATTGTGTCCATCTACAACTAAAAATATTATTTTAAAATGTTAGCATTAGAGTACACATGTCTATAAAACAATTATTGGGCAATCAAATATATATTGTAAACACTTCATAACAGTGCTCTGTCCAGACATAATCTTTCCCCTCATATATCTCATTTTTTTGTATTTAACTCCCAATACTGCCTTATGTTTATATAAGCCAATACTTTGGTAACTTCTGCTAATTCTCTCATGTTCTGTTCTATAACTTAAAACTTTAGTCAGCATTAGCAGCTGAACTAAAGGTTAACAAAGCCAGGCCTGAGTCCTGCTTCATTTCTTCCTGCCTTTACATGACTACTGCCTCATATTCACCGAGATCAGAGAGATAACAGAAATTCATGCTTCTACTCATTTAGCATATGTATTTTTTTGCCTCTTAGGATTTTGTCACTACTTTTCACTTTCTGTGTTCATTAAGTAATTACATAAACTTCAATAATATCAATCACACTTTAAACTTAAAAAAAAAACTCTGAATGGTTTATCGTCACATTTTATGTTCTTCCATCCTCAATAGTCCTTATTCTAGAACTCATCATTTCAGCATGCGTAGAATAAAACAATCAGAATTGTAGATATTTCAAAAACAAATGCATGTGATTTTATTCAAAAATTTTTCTGTCATGTTTCTATAATATTTGTCATCAATAAGTAGAATAACCTTCTTGGCTAAGAAGACTTTCTCATTCCCTCCAAATCTAAACAAGTACCAATAAGGTTATCTATTCTTGCCTTTTGGTCATCTCTTCCTGGACACACATGATAGTGTGTCAAGAAAAAAAAAATACAGGAAAACAACATGATTTCTTGGCATTACTGTCTCTATGTAAGTGTTAACATTCCACTCACTTACATACTTGACTCCTTTACTTTTTCAATATTTATATAGGTTTCCACTGGGCATGGTAACAAAGACCTGTAATCCCAGATACTCAGTGGGGTCTGAGGCAGCAGTATGGCAAGTTTGAGGCCAATCACAGTCCCTGAGTGAAACTCCTTTGTAAGGCACCCCTGGGTTCAATGCCTAGTACCACAAAAAAAAAAAAAAAAAAAAAACAACTTTCTGATTCTCATGACAATTCACATCAGTCTCACCTACCATCAAAAGATAAATGTTTCCCTTTTTAGAAACCATATACACAATGCTTGCTCTACAGCACATACACTAAAAATTAGAATGATACAGAGGAAGATCAGCATGGCCTCTGCTCAAATATGGCATGCAAATTTGTGAAGCACTCTGTATTTTTAAAGTATTCTTACCATACCCCCCACACACACAGAGAGCAGATATATCAATTTACCAGACTGTAAAAATTACTTCACTACATATGTATATCAAAATATCAAATTATATCTGAAATTTATATTTAAAATGAAAAAAGAACCATACAAAAATCTTATATGTAAAATACATACTATTAAAGTCTTTTTGAAAATTAAATGTCAACATCACTATAAATTTTTAAAAGTAAAATGCTACCATTATACACAAAAGTAAACGCTGAATCATGATAAAATTATTTTCAGTACAGTAATTCACTAAAAACATACAGGTTTTCCAAAGCCTACAATATGGGTCCTTTCTCTAATCTACTTTTACTGCAAGCACCAGATATACAGAAACTTAGCTAATTGCAATTACTGTGTTTCTCAAAACATGCTCTGAACTTAACGAAAGAGGTAAAAGACCTCTACAATGAAACTACAGAATGCTACAGAAAGAAATTAAAGATGACTTTAGAAGATAGAAATATCTTCCTTGTTCTTGGATAGGCAGAATTAATACTGTCAAAATGACCATACAACTAAAAGCACTGTACAGATTTAATGCAATTCCAATCAAAATACCTATGACATTCCTCATAGAAACAGAAAAAGCAGTCATGAAATTCATCTGGAAAAATAAGAGACCTAGAATAGCTAAAGCAATCCTTAGCAAGAAGAGTGAAGCAAGTGGCATCACTATACCAGACCTTAAACTATACTACAGAGCAATAGTAACAAAAACAGCATGGTATTGGCACCAAAATAGACTTGTAAAACCAATGGTATAGAACAGAGGACACAGAGACTAACCCACATACTTACAGTCATCCTTCTTATATTTGACAAAGGCGCCAAAAGCATACATTAGAGAAAAGATAGCCTCCTCAACAAATGGTGCTGGGAAAACTGGAAATCCATATGCAACAAAATGAAATTAAACCCTTATCTCTCACCATGCACAAAACTCAACACAAAGCGGATCAAGGACCTGCAGATCAAGGACCTACAAATTAAACCAGAGAAACTGCGTCTGTTAGAAGAAAAAGTAGGCCCAAATCTCCATCATGTCAGATTAGGCCCCAACTTCCTTAATAAGACTCTCTTAATAATTAATATCAAGAATCAATAAATGGGATGGATTCAAACTAAAAAGCTTCTTCTCAGCAAAAGAAACAATCTGTGAGGTGAATAGACTGCCTACTGATTGGGAACAAATTCTTACCACATGCATGTCAGACTGAGCACTAATCTCTAGAATATATAAAGAACTCAAAATTCTTAACACCAAAAAAACAAATATCTCAATCAATAAATGGGCCAAGGAACAAGCACTTCTCAGAAGACATACAATCGATTAACAAATATATAAAAAAATGTTCAAAATCTCTAGCAATTAGACAAATGCAAATCAAAACTACTCTAAGATTTCATCTCACTCTAGTCAGAATGCCAGCTATTAAGAATACAAACAACAAAAAGTGATGGCAAGGAATGTGGAGAAAAAGACACCTCATACATTGCTGGTGGGACTGCAAATTGGTGCAGCCAATATGGAAAGCAGTATAGAGAATCCTTAGAAAACTGAGAATGGAACCACCATTTGACCCAGCTATCCCACTCCTCAGTCTATACCTCAGTCTATAAAAACAGCATACTACAGGGACACAGCCACATCAATGTTTATAGCAGCACAATGCACAACAGCTAAACTGTGGAACCAACCTAGATGCTCTTCAGTAGATGAATGGACAAAGAACATGTGATATACATACATAATGGAATATTATTCAGCATTAAGAGAGAATAAAATCATGGCATTTGCAGGTAAATGGATGGAGTTAGAGAAGATAATGCTAAGTGAAGTTAGCCAATCCCAAAAAACCAAATGCCGAAAGAKTTCTCTGATTTAAGGATGCTGATCCATAATATGCTGGAGGGGGAGGGGGAATATGGGAGGATTAAATGAACTCTAGATAGGGCAAAGAGAAAAAGGGAAGGGAGGGGAAGAAGGGGCATAGGGGTAGGAAAGAAGGTGGAATGAGATGATCATCAGTACCCTAAGTACATGTATAAAGACACAAGGATGTGACTCTACTTTGTGTACAACCAGTCATATGAAAAATTGTGCTCTATATGTGTAATATGAATTATAATGCATTCTGTTTTCATATACAACAAATTAAATTTTTTTAAAAAAAGAAAACAAAAAATAAAGAACATGCTCTCTTCACTAAGCATGTAAGTTTAGGAAAAGCAGAGTTAAACAAAAAGCAGTTTAGTATAATAAGGCTTTTAGAACACCTCTGCTAATGTGCATTCTGGATTTGCAAAGGAGGAAAAAAAATAAACAAGACTCAAAATTCAGAAGTTCTCAAATTATTAAACTGTCAAAAAGGTCAAAGAATACAAATTCCTTTAACTACACAACAAAGTGCATTGTTTAAAAATTCTAACAAGCTTATGAAACAGATAATACTTGTTAACTTAATAGTAGTTCCCTCTATTTGTTCAAAACTGTCTTCTGATAAAATGTCTGCCATATTTTTTTTAAGTTTCGATTAAGTATTTCAATAAATATTAAAAATAAAGCATCACTGTCAAATGTACTGAAGTAAAAAAGAAGAAATGCAAGCTCAATAACTATCTAAAAAGACAGTTAAATATTTATAAATAGGAATTTTTTAAAAACTTATCAAATTTCATCTTTTTGCTAGTTTGAAAAAACTGTTCCTCTTACTTGGCTATCTCCTCTATCAACCCTTCTCTTAAAAGACTTCCAAATTCCCACAAAAGAATCTCTTTCCAACCTCTTTAAAAAAAAAATAACTTCAAATTCCTTTCATCTGGATGCATTGGTGCATGCATATAATCTCAGGGACTCAGGAGGCTGAGTCAAGAGAATTCTAAATTCATGGCCAACCTCTTCAACTTGGTGAAGCCCCAAGCAATGCAAGGAGAACCCTGTTTCACAATTTAAAAATTGAAAAGGGCTAGGGATGTGGCTCTAAGAACCCCTGGATTAAATCCCTAATACCAAAACAAACAACCACCACCCTTCTTTTAGACACATCCAGATTCCCATCTGGCAATAACAAAGTTAGAAGTCACCACTTCATTCTTTCTAACAAAAAAGTAAAAAGCTGAACAAACTGAAAAATCAATACTCTTGTTAAATTCTTCAGAGAAGTGACCTCAGGGCAAACCACTGCTCCAAAACTTGAGCAACTGGCAAATGCAGAAAATCACAGCACACCAGAACAGAAACCCACAAGAAAACCCACAGAGAAACTTGCCTGGGAACCAGTGCCAGAATAGAGGAGACTCAGTATGAACAGGTCTGAGTTAAAATCTCCAGAGAACCCAATCATATGGTTTCATCTCCAGGAACTCTCCCAGGTCCCACAGCAAATACAGGAGATAAATCTCCCCATGCTTGTGATAGGGAGAAGTGGAAGGGGAACAATTTTAAAATATACCAGAGCATTCTATATTCTTAACAAGGCCTGCCTTCAGCAAAACTAATTTACCAAAGCCTAACATACCTGTAGGAAAAAGGAAATATACGACTCCAGCTCCCTTTACTGACATACTAATAAAAGGCAAAAAACACAGTTTAAAGAGACAGCAAAAACATCAAAACCAGACATTATCAAGAGATTTGGGAATTATTAAACTGGGAATTTTTTTAAAACCATGATTAATTTTATGCTAAGTGTTTTAATGAAAAGGAAGACAACATTTAAACACATGGATAATGTAAAAAGAGAGATGGAAATTCTAAAGATAAAGAAGAAGCCCTAGAAATCAAAACCCTATAACAGAAATGAAGAATGCTTCTAGTAGGCTCATTAGTAGACTGAACACAGTTGAGGAAAGGTTTCTGAGCATACAGTTATGACAATAGATATTACTTCCAAAAGGGAAAAGAAAGAAAAAGACTGATTTWAAAAAAAAAAAAATCTTAAGCAACCACAAAAGGTCTAACTTAAGGAAAAAAATACTTTCATTAGTGCATTTGAGCTATACATAATAGTTGGATTCATTCTGAAATAATCATACATGCTAATTTAATTCGCTCCATTTCAGTCCCCAGTGTCTCCTTTACTCCCTCCCCACTTTCCTCCTCCTATTTCCCAAAAGGTACAAATTTCTGTATAATATGAAAATAAAAAGTTAAAGAAAAAGAAACAAGAAATATTTGAAACAATAATGACTGAGAATTTCCCCAAAATAATGTCAGATCCATAAAACTCAGAACTCCAGACAAAACAGATGCCCCACAAAAAAACACTTCTATGCATATCATATTCAAACTTAAAAAAATCAAAGAAAAAAACCTTGAAAGAAGCCAGAAATTGAAAAATACTTTACCTAAAGAAAACCAAGCTAAGGATTCCACCCAGCATCTCAAAAACAAGGCAAGCAAAAAAAAATTGAATAAAAATTTAAAGAGCTAAGAGGAAAACAACATCAACCTAAAATTTTGTACCCTGCAAAATTATCCTTCAAAGTATAGGATAAATAAAGATATTCTCAAAGAGAAAATGAATGGATTTATTGTCAACAGATCTGTCTTGCACAATATGTTAAAGCAGCTCATCACAGAAAAGGAAAATGATATGGATAGAAATTCTGATCTACATAAAAAGAAAAACAGCATAGGAAAGAATGAATAGCAAGCACAAAAGAATGAATAAGCAAAGATAAAAGGTAAAATAATTTTTTCTTATTCTTAATCTAATAGGTAACAATTTGTTCAACATAATAGCAACAAGGTATCTAATTATGCATGATCTAATTATACATACTTGTAAGTAGAACAAATGACTGCAGGAATATAAGTACAGATGTAAGAAGTAGCAATATTTTGTTACTATAAAGTATTTGCACTACAGATGTAGGAATATACTATTACTTGAAAATGGACATGGATAAGTTATAAATGTATACTGTAAAATCCAAAGCAAATACTTTTAAAAGT